CTAATGGATCACAATTTTGTTTGGAGATCTGTAGAAACACAGGCTCAAGGTAGTTGAGCTCCATCTCCAGGCCTAGGGAGGCCAATTAAAGTGATTTCTCTCCTTTGGCCAGGGTATACAGGAAGTGATTTGTTGCCCCTATGTTGTGATGTTCAGAGTTGTGGCAGCTATTTTGGAGCCATGAAAGGAATTAACTAAGTCAAAACAACTTACTGAGAATGGCAGAATAGAAAGGTGAGGATAGAAAGGTGCCCAATGACATTGGTTGGCTACTGAATTGTTCAACCTGAAGACATTTCACCTCTGGACTTTTTGTAACAGGAGATCCTTGTTTAAGTTCTAGATAAAGTTCTCTACATAGTTCTGCAGCCCAAAGCATTTCAAGGGAACACCACTATGTAAAATATTTGGTGCATAGTAAAAATGCAATTATAAAGTACAGCCAGTGAAAAGTGCATCGAACTTAGAGACAGGGGATGCAGTCTAGTGTCAGGTCCTTGGCCAAAAAGGCCATTTTGTCCTCAAGGGGACATTTGGCAATGCCTGGGAACATTTCTGGTATGAGAATTGGAGGGTGCTACTGGCCAGGGAGACTGCTGGATGTGCTACAGTGCAAAGGAAAGCCTTCCACAATGAAGAATTATCTGGCCCCAGATAGCAGTACTGCTGAGGCTGAGAAACCTTGCTCAAAAACATGGGAAACTATTAAAAAGTCATCATATTCACAGAGTTTATGGCTTTGCAGCATCCACTCTCCTTCCTCCTCCAGCAGCTTCTGTTGAATTACTCTTCTGTGCCCTCTGTCACTCAGACACAAGAGGAGACCTCCTGTACGTGCTACTATTTATCTACTGTGCCTTCTCGGGCCCTTCTGCTTTTTAAAAATGAATTGCATAAATAATGAAAGCTTACTTTGGAGACAAGAGCTTGTGATCTTCCAGACCTTTTCCTATTTCCTGGAGAATTTTGCACTCCCCTTCCTCCTCTTCTGTGTAATTCTAAAACCATATAACCAAGTCCTTTGTCCAACTCTCTCTGTAATGTTAGTAGATTATAGCCATAGGAAACTAGACCATATCTTAGATTGATGCTGCCCGTTAAGTTCAAAGTTACAGTCAGCTCTGCTTTTGTGGAAAACTAATGTTATAACAGCAAGGGTGGCCTTCATCCATCATTTCAGTGAAACTTTATTTTTGCAGAATTTCCTTTCAAGATGGTAGATTATTGTACATTCTAGGGCAGAGAGTGAGAGAGGAAAGTCCATCACAGAGAGAGAAAGGAAATAACAGGTCTGATCTCTAGAGGGTGAAATGAGAAGTTGAATCAGACATTGAGTTCTTTGATTCACTGGATTAACTCAAAATTGTTTTTCAAGTGACCTCCCAGTCTGGAAACTTCCGAGCTATGAAAGATGAGAGAGCACTGCTCCCAAACTAGAAGAAACAGCTGTCTGTGCTATGAAGGATTATGGAACCATGGGGCCAGAAGGTCAAAATTAGGAGCTTAACTTTTATGTCCCACAAAATGAGAAGCTGCTTTTGTAACCATGACCTCAGATCTTACAGTGATTTAAAATTTCCCAAAGAGAGTTCACCACATTGTGGTTTCATTTGCTCCTCATCGCAGTGGCCCTGTGTAATAGGCAGGTCAAGTACTGTTACCTGCACTGGACTGAGAGGAATGAGAAGCTGTATAGGTTATGTGACTTAAGGCAAACCAAACTTAAAGCTTTATTAACTCACTGAGACATGCATGACCTTTGAACTTAACCAAATGTTTCAGATCTTTCCTGGGACAGTTAAGGTTTTAAACAATCTGTTCTTTATCCTGATATGTTTCTTTATCAGATAACAAGTCCTAATTTTTTATCCCAAATATACAGTCCTTGGAATGTTGACCTGGAGCAACCAACTAAGGATTCCTTCAACTATTCATTTAGCCACCGATTGATAATTCTGCATGAATTATATGTGAAGTTTTGTACTAGAGGCTGGAGAGGGAGGGAGACAATGATAAATAAAATATAAAATATTCCCTTTTCCCCCTCAAGTTGCTTAGAGTCCTCTAGAGAATGCAGACATGTGAGCCACTAGCAGTCATGTAGGCAGAAGGGCTTAACAGGGGCAGAAAACATAGTGTGGAGCTAGAGTGGAAGAAGCAATTGGTCCTGCCTGTGGGAAAGTAGGGAAAGATTTCAGAAGAAGAGTTAGCACATCAGCGAGACCTTGAAAGAGCAGGATTCTGAAAATCTGAGAGGATAAATTATGTCACAGGTATGGAAGAAATAGTCACTTCAAAGTCTTAACATTCCTAGTGAAGCTTTACCCAAGGTTTTAAGTGTAACATCTACTCAGGGACTCTCAATTCCTTAGTTGATGGCATCTTAGACTAAATCTGCTGGCCTATTAACACAAGGGAAGCATTTCATTCTATTTTTCCTCAGAAATGAGTGTGCTTTCTAGGTAAGGGCACAGACTAAATGGAACTTTTACAAGGGAAAATTATCCCATTTATCGTTTTAGTTTTCAAGGTCAAAGCAACCTTGATTTGCCTTTTTTGTATTTTTTTCCTTGCATGACCTGATAAAAGTAACTATAGATAGATTTGGATACAAGACAGGTATAGCTGTAGATGTAGATAGGTGCGTGTCTATGTATATACCACCTCTTTTTTTCTACATACCAGGCACTGTGAATATATTATTATTTAATATTCAGAGGTCTGTGAGTTAAATGGTGTTATTATTCCTATTTTATAGTTAAGAAACTGAGATTCATTGAAGTAGAGTCATATGTTAAAAACTCAGATATTAAGTGAGAGACAGGATTGAGAGGTGTCTGTTTCACTCAAAAGCCCATGCTTTTTCTGCTGCATTCTACTGCCTCTGACTAGCTCTGTAAGAGAATCCACGCTGGGGCAGAGATTGCTCATTGTTCCCTAGAATCCATTCTCCCTTTTTTTCCTTCTAGTAATAGGACTGGCTCTCTCCCTCCCCAGAGCAGTTTGAGCAGAGCACTGGCCCCCGCTGTGGCTTCCATCTCTCCGCCTGCCTTGTAGCCAGGGGTGACCCTGCGATTCACTCATCCCCGGTAGAACGGGAACAGAGGAAGCTGTGAGGAACCTGGACATCACATGCTCAGAGGGATTGCCTGCTCTCCATCCTCTTTCTCCCTCCGTAGCCGAAACGTGGTCCTGGCCCTGGTGGCCCTGGCCCTGGTGGCCCCCCGATAAGTTAGAGCAGCAAGATGAAAGGAGCCTGGGTCCCTGGACAGTTGGGGGGAGTGGAGCTTGTACCCCCCACCTACCTCTGGGCAGTCAGTGAGAGAGAAACCTCTGTTTTTTGTTTAAACCATTGTAGTTTTTTAATCTCCTAGATTATTCCCTGCCTAATATAAGTACGCAAGAGCAGTAGTCAAAGCATCCTGGGGTGTGGTTGCTTTCCCATCTAGATATATAAAAAGTGCCATTGTACTGGGTTCCTTAGTGGCCCCTTGGCAAGGCCCCTTTGCCGTCTGGCATTATCGCACTTAGTCCCTAAACAGTGTGGTCCTGGATGTGTCTGTCACTTCAGAAGTCTCCTGTGGTCATCAGATGTCAGACCATGTCCTGCATATACCTGACATCAAATGGTAGAAGACTGTAACTACTGTTGTACCCAAACTGCTAACCTTAGGAGAAAAAGTCTACGTTCCCATCACTGAGCAGAAGAGCTTGGATCGCCATTACATTGCCCTGCAACCTTCTGATCAAATGTACAGAGAAGGAAACATGACAAACGAGAGTGAGTGATTTTATTACCCGTATTTCCCAACACAGACTGTAATACCAAATCTCACTGACCTTGGCTACTGAAGGTCACCCATAAAGATGTGATCTATTGCCTATTTGGACTCGGGCTTCTGGATTTTGCTCTGCTAACCCTGCTTATTTTTTGCAGCCGTCACCAGGACACAGCAGAAGTCACATTTAAAGGAGGCTGCTGCAGGAGACCTGTGCAGGAGATGCCCAGGGTTTCTATGGAAAACAGGAGTCTCTGGATTGGCACTAACTGCTGATCCAGGAGACTGAGCCCTCCTAAGTCAAAGTCAGGCATGTTGTTTGAGAGTGACTTGTTCTCAGAAAAGATGTTTCTTGGAAGATCTATACTATAATTAGGACCAAGCATGTGAGTTTTAACCCTCTAGGGCCTGTTACTTGCTCTGCTTCTTGTCCAGACCGTATCTCTGGCCCTGATTGGTTGGTGAACTCCCCCTCATTACTAGTCTCCAGGAATTTAACATGAATGTATCACAGCACATCCATCATCTCTAGATGAGTGGGAAGACCCGTAATCATTGGGAGTTACAGACTCCTTTGATCAGCTGATGAAATTGTAGAAAAATACACATTCATACATAATGTTGCAGTCCATCTGTGAACACCCAGGTTTATGACCCAGGCATCTGCGGCTGGTAGTGTATAGGACATTTGCATAACAATACATCATGATATTCAATATTGTCGTGCACTAAGTTGGAAATTTCTTGAGGACAGGAGTTATAATATGTGGGGCTGGTACAGTCCTATGTAGTAGGTGTTTTATGAAATGTGTAAGAACCAAGTATATAGACTTGATTTTTTCATTTGGCATAAAAATTTCTAGTCAAAATACTTTATTTTTAGAAATATTTAGAAAATGAGGTGAAAGAGAGAATGAGGAAAATGGTAGGGACTCAATGTTCAATAATTATCAATTCCACCCACATATAAATCATTTAGTAGCTTATAAATGATTTAGCAGCTGGTCACTGGTCCCAGAATAAATCTTTTAATAGGCAAGAAGCCTGTCTCTTTTTCCCTGTTAGAAAATCCAGCTCAAAATTGATGTAATACTTTGAGCAGTCTGATGTTGATCACTGGCATAAAGATTTTTAGCTTGATCTCAATTTGACAAAATAATCCCCCACTATTGCCTTGTCTTCTGTGGCTTGTTCTCCAATATCCATTTTCTCCTTTCTCAGTGCAGAACTCCGGGATACTGGCTGGACACGTGACTGCCCAGAATAAAGATAACAACATTTCCCAGCCACCTCGGCAGCTGGGTGTGGCTCTCTCACTAAATTCTGGTGAGTGAGATGTGGTTGTATAACAGAAGTTATAATTAATTAGTGGAGGGGGAAGGGTTGCTCTTCTCTTGCTCCTTCCCTCCTTCCTGATGGTTGGAATGTAGACATAAGGAAGGTCATCCAGGGCCACAGGTCCAGAAGCCCGTTGAAGACAGCAAACCACGGCAGCAGGTCCCTCCCACTGTGGAGCTGCCCCACTGGTCCTGAACTGTGTCCCTTTCTCCAGTGCCATCCCCACTTCGAGAGGTTTGTTAGGAGGACTCACAGGACTCAGCATATAATTGTGCTCACAGCTAAGATCTGTTATGGCCATGTAATAAGGATACACAACTGATCAGAAGGGAGAAAACCAGTGGACCCTGGAGGAATTCCTGTGCAGGCTTCTTTGTGCTTTCTGCCTCCTGTGAGGGATCACACAGAACTCACTCTTCCCCAGCAATGAACATGCAGCAACTTGTGTGTGCTGCCTGTGTGGTGAAGCCCAGTAGAGACTCAGCAGCCTGGGGGAGCGGGTCATCTTAGGCACCCTCTGTCCAGCAGGTATCCAAGTTCCAAACTCTCAGGAGGAAAGTAGACAGAATCGAGGCAGTGGTCTAAAAACCTTGATCTCGGTTTAAAAAATAATCCCCCACTGTCTCCCTGCATTCTGTGGCAAAGATTGCCGTTTCCAATATCAGTTCATTGTTGACTCGGGACATCCCAAGCGCCAAGTTCCCCAATGCGAGCTAAGGGCTGACCTTGCAAGCAGGCCTTTCTAAGGGTTGCTTTCTGAGGGATTTCAGGGCTGCCACCTTAACCCTTCTGCTCATGGGCAATCTACATTTACCCCAAACAGACTAGGGTGGAGTTGGTTGGAGGGATCATGTTCTAGTGAGGCATCTGCACTTGCTTCTTCCTCATTCTTCAAACCCCGCAGTGGAACAGCAATGACCATGTGCAGAGAGAGCACTTGGGAATGACATTCCTCCAGCTTGTAAACCCGATCACAGGCCTTGTGAATGTGTCAGCTTCCCTATGGTACTGTTCACACTGAGAAACGCTGCTCTTTTGTGGATTTTCTGCATCAAAATTCAAGCACCAGAGATCTCAGGTTTTTTCAATTATTTGTTTAGCTTTAGGAACTGGAGGGACTCCAGCTCATTTCCTCATTTTAAAGAGGTAAAGTATAACACATCTCACAAGATCCAGCAAGTTAGCAAAGTGGAAGTAGAAATATATCATCTTGATCCCCATTCATATATCACCCGAACAAGTGAGCATCTGCTTGTTGAACAAAACTGAGGAATCTGGATCCTCTGTGAAAACCGATCTGGGCACATGGACAGTCCTTAAACTATGTGGATCTTCAGAGGCAGGCAGAAAAGTTCCTGAGCACAGAGACGTGTGGATAAACACAAGGCACTTCGTGACATTACATTTGCTTCCTGGGTATTTTAAATAGAGCCTGTGAGAGAATGAAAGTTATCCTAGAACACAGGAAGCAGCTCGGTACGTCTGTGCTGATTATAATCACAGGACTTCCCTTCAAGTCAGCTTTAGACACTTATTTGGCAACTCCTTTTGATGTGCTCCTGACAGACTTGTTATTAACATTTAAGCCACTAATTAATTGCATGCACACCAGCAGTACTGCGGTCTTCACAGTCTGTGTGGGTACTTGGTAAAGGTTACCTGAGGATACTAATATTTAGTCATCAAACCAAAAGACATTTCCCAGGTCCTGAATAACAACCCCTTTAAAAAGAAATGTATATATACAACATGAAAACCTTAGTCTTAAGATTTAGATGACTCAGTGGGTTTTCTGGATATTATTTGGATCCAGTTCTGGGCATTTGCTTTCCACCCATTTATTTGAGATGTCTGCGGGCTGACCAGAGTCTAGGCAGCTTAGTAATTGTGTGCAGAAAAAACAGCAAATTGCTGAGGGCTGCATTTTGCATCTAATGGTAATGCTGAGCATAGAAGTCCTTAGGGGCACAATCAAAGAAGAAAAGCCACACACAAAAATCACCAAAGGTCATTCACTTTACCTGGGGGTGGTGGGGATGGTGGCAAAGGCATGGACTTGGGGTGAATCTCAGATTAGCTGCTCACTGGCCTCTGTAACCCTCAAATATATGTAAGAGTGCAGCTAGCATTACCTATCTGTTGGGGCTGCTGGGAAGATAAACATGAGAATATTTGTGTGAACATCCATGTAGTGTCTCACCCCTTCCATCAACTTCCCAGAGAAAAAATGTTCCTACTGTTGAAGACAGGATTAGACTCTTAAACATGCAAGAAATCAGCCGCATAAATTGGGAAGCCTACTCCAAAGTTCTGGGTTTTCTAAGAAACGCACGCTTTCACATTTCCACAGATGAGGACACCTCAGTCATCCATCACTTCCCAGACAGTGTTCTGTGAGCCTGCAGGTGACAATTTGTTTGTTCACATGGACATTTTACAAAGCTTGTGGTATCAAAGTTCTTTTTCTCTTTCTGTTCCCTGACCTCTTGACCCTGAATTTATGGTTTCTTTCTTGCTAATGGCACTTTAAAAAAAAAGTAAAAACAGGTATTTTTACCAACCACCTGTCCCCATCTCTCAGTGACTTTGCTCTGCAAACAGAGCTGCCCTTTTGTTTTTCCACCCCTCTTCCCTCTCATGCTGCCTCTGCCCTCATGGGTCCGCCGTTCCCACAATACAGGAGCACCCAATGTTCCAGGTGCATGGAAGCAATTCTTCCCTCGAACAGTGTTTCCAAACCGTGTGGTATGATTTTAGGTGACACACAGATGTGCCATTAAATGACATTTTACCACATACCAAGAAAACCATTGCCTTTCAATGCTCTTCTAGTCCTTCAGAGCTCATGAAAGGCAAAGTCGCAGTGGAGCACTGTGATGCTCCACCATGTTCTCAGGCTTTCCGGGTTCACTCTTAATGAAGAATGAGCAGATTGCAGGCTCAGAGGCTTGGGCACATTAAGAATTTAATTACAAAGTTTTGTTTTTGCCTTTTAAAATTCTGCTGGCATTTCCAGTTTACACCAAGTAATGCATTGTTTTTCATTTGTAATAATAAATGTTTTAAGAATAAATTTCTCGTTAATAATAAATGAAAATATCCTTTAAAAATAATATTCTTTGAATATAAAGAGTGTGAGATTTAAAGGCACAAATAATAGTACAGATAATACATGAGTTTGTCAAGACTGTGAGGGCAGCACTGGTGTGGCTTAAGAGTGTCCATTTGCTCCAGACCATCGAGAAGCTATACATGGCAGGGAGGAGCAACTCAGAACCTCCTGGTTCTTTCTAAGGAGGCATGGAGGCCATTTCTTCATCTTCTTCCACTGATACCCACCAGCGCCATCATGATGAGGATAATCTGTTTATTTTAAAGTTTACATGTTTTATTATGAACATTTTTCTATGACATAAAACAATTTTTAAGAGCTTCAAAGTACATTATTATGGATGTTCCATGATCTATATAACCAACCTCTTATTGCTATGTATTTTTGCTGTTCCCATTTTTTCATTATGATGAACACTTCTACAATGAAAATTCTAGTATACGAACAGGGAACACACCTTTTATCTCTTCCTTAGCTCCTCATCTTGCAGGAAGCCAAGCAAACAGCTACTGCTCAAATGATGCTGAAGGGAGAACAAGGGCATTTCAAAATGTCACTACTTTAGATAGGGAACTAGTTGAAATAGAAAAATAACTTGGCATCTGATGATGACCTTGTTTCCTTCTCTAAGCAGAGAGCAAAAAGAGAAACAGAACAACAGCAAGATGACATGACTTTGCTCTCAGAAACCAAGAGAGAGACTTATTTCTGAAGTCTCCAGAATGCTAAGATTGTGATTGGAAGGCTTTCAGCTTCCTGTGCAACCCTGGTAGCCTGCACTGCAGGTCAGTCACATGATGAAGTGACAGCATCGAGCCCCCACCATCTGCGCACCAGGGGAAATTGGAAACATGGCGTAGGATGGCTTTGGAGAAGTACCTTACATTTGTTTGGTGGGAAGCCAGGGCAAGACACTGCCGTAAATAGGACCAAATCCAGCTGTCCAAACATGGGCGATTCCGTCCAGCCAGCCAGCCATTCCCCCTAATCCAGATGTTTGTCATCACACAGTCTCAGATTATCTTTCCTTCTTTCAAACATAACTTGTACTAATCACATTCATCAAAGAGTTACATTTGCTTTTAATTAAAAAACATCTATTTTGATTCAGCTGGGCCCTCTTTACCTCAGCATAAGGACACAGCCTACATTATGAATAAGCTTTAAATCACAGCTACCTTTGTTTAAATGACAAATTACTGAGGTTGTCTTTCCATCTCTGAGTTCACATATAAGAAACTCTAGACTACATCAACACTAAATATTTGCTCATTATTAGTATTTGTTAGAATATAGATAACTCTATTCCATCTACACAACTACTGAGTTCTCATGAGGGTAGTAGACTCTTAATAGTTACATATCTATGTGTTCAGAAGTCTCCAATGATTGTGTTTTATAATTGGACATGCTTCAAAGTCTGGCCATATGTGTGGTCTGCTTAGATCTCCAACGATGCTTCTGCACTTAATCTCCTTATCTGAAAATTAGAGAATAATAAAACATTATTATTTTGTGTGAGGATTACGTATCATAAAATCTTTCAAATACCCAGCAGAGTGCTTAATATGTAGTATGGGTGCAAATACTTGCTGGAGCTTCCTACCCCCTAAATAGTCTCTAGCCAGGAGTCTGACTTTTCTAAATTTGCTTCTACCTCCAGAGACTGAAGCAGAATTTCAATAAGATTAATTTTCTGAGCTTCAGTTCTTTTGTCTGGCATGACTTTGCTCTTTGCTCTCTGAGAAAGTGAGCAAAAAAAGTAAGAAAAAAGCCCTATGTGAATATTTGGATATGCTGGGAGCCAGTGAGGACTCTTCTGTAGGACTGTTTCCTTGTGAAATGCTGTTCAAGACCACTCTGTGATCTGAGCTTAGCTTACCAATAGCAATCCTCTGATTACTGATTTTATTTCTCAGTCTTTCATCACGTCACTACTACGTACTAGAAGAGCTAGCATCTGGCATTCGTGACTTTGGAAGGAATGCTTATTATTAAAAATAAATACACTGATGATATTATAGGTTATTTTTAACTGAGGCACATAGAGGTCAAGGAATCTGCTCTAGATACTCAGTTATTATGTGGTGAAGATAAGAATTTGAACCCTGGTAATTAACTCTAAAACTCAAGTTCTTGGTGACTCCATGTTTTTGCTTGGTCCTCACCACCAAAAACAACAAATACAGACTGTTTACATTATAAAGAAAGCAAATATCTTCCAAAGTGCAAAAGTGGTAGCAGCTATTTTGAAAAAAACTGTTTTGAACTTGTTAAGTTTAACTTGAGACAAATGACAGCCAAAATGTGTGAATTAATGGTGGATTAAAACATTGACATTTATGGAATTTCTATTGAGTTAAAAACACTTTGATTTACCTAATGGTATTTAATTTCAGTACTTCTCAATTTAATAAATGTGTATTAAAAATTCCATTTCTTGCTTTGAAGCCCTAAATCACCCTGCTATGGAGTCATGGAAGACACAGCATCAGCTTTAAAGGAAATCAGTTACAGGGGGAAGCAGACACTCCCACCCTGGGCATGGCCTGGCACGTTGCCTCAGTAAACACTTTCTTCAGGCCCTACATGGGCCAGGCATCATTCCAGAACGATTGAGAGATGACTAGGAATTTGTCAGGTGGATAAAATATGCATGCAAATGTGTGTGGGGGTCTCTGTGTGACAGTGGGGGTGGTGGGTGAAAAAGCCATTGAGGAGTGCGGACTGAATAGATTGAGCAAGAATTTGTGTGTGTGAGTGTGTGTGTATGTGTGGGTAGGGTTGTGTTTTATGCATGTGAATGTATCTGGTTGTATGTGTGATTTTTTATAAGTGTGTGTGTGTGTGTGTGTGTGTGTGTGTGTGGTAGTGGAGGTGGTGGGGGTAGGTACAGGGGGACTTTCAGGAGAGAAGAGAACAAAAGAATTTGTAATGCATGGTGAACAGATTGAACAAGATCAATATTTCCTTTTTTTTTTTTCACATTTTCCCTCAGCAGGAACCCAAAGTCTTGCAGGATGTGTGGGCTAAACTTGCAACTGTGCATAACCCTGATTGCTGAAAATTTACTTTATTCTCTGCTTTCCACCTTAACCAAGACTTGCTTAATCTGAGAGGCAGTGCCCAGCATCTCAGCTCCAGGCCTTATGGCTGGGTGCAAAGGGGTGGTGCTGAACCAGGTGCCTGGTGCCAGCCCAGGATGAAGAGCATGCAAATATTTATCAAAGCAACATGAGTATGTGGTTTTATAAAAATGATATGTAAGAACTTAGAACCAAAAGCAATGATCTCCAACATCTTCCTAAGACAGGCTTTCCAAAGACAATTATTTGTAGTTTAATAGTTTCTATTTCTAATTCTTCTGGTGGTTCCTCCATGTCACTAAATATATGACTGTACTACTTACCAATTTTAGAAATTATCTATCAATTTCCCTCTGATAGATGAGGGTTATCCATCTAAAATAGTTCCTCTGTCATTCATCCCCAAACAGTTTCAATACTCTTTCTAGCTCCTAAATTGGTTGCTTCTGGACATTTAAACAAAATTATTTACATCATTATTTCTTGAATTATCAATTACAAAGATTGTCTCTTGACTGCCCTTTTTCTAAGATAAAAATATTAGTCCCTTGCACCCAATTGCAGCTTTCTTCTTTCATTTTATCTCCAACTTTTGCCATATGCAGTCTTACCTTTACATCGTCATGGTTGATGATGACATTTAGATTCCTCTCTGTGAGCACGAGTAAGGCATGTCTACAGGTTAGTTCTAACTGTGCACAGTTGGCAAATAGTGCTTACATTGTTATGACTACAAAAAGATTATTCATTGTGGTGTCAGATGGTTTGCTTTCAGTACATTTTGGCTTCATGTAGATTTAGTTTTTTCTGTTGTTTCTTACTAGCTTTATATTTTTCTGAGTTGACGTTTAAGCCTCATGCATAGTATTATACATCTAGAAACATCCATGCATTTTCTGTTTTCCTGTTTCCTATATCCATGTCTTCCTGATTTTTGTTTTACTCCTTCATGTTGCTGGGGTGGGAGGGAGGTAAGCTTTTAGAATCCTCGCATGCCCGGCATTGACTTCATGGATGTCTGGTAGTGTACAGCCTTGCTGCCTGAACCTAACTCCCCTTCAGTTCTTTGGAGGCATTGCTCCTTTGTCTGCTAGTCTCAGTTGTTGTCAGTGAGAAGTCTTTTGCCTGATCCTTGTTTCTTTGTAAGTGAACTCTTCTGTCTTTCTGAAAGTATTAGAATTTTCTCTCCATCCTTAATGTTCCAGCGTTTCATAATGATGTGTCCAGTATCATCAGGTAGAAAATTGCCTAGGTGCCATGTCGCTTCCAAGTTCACTTCTTAGTAGAGGCTGCATTAGCGTACTATTCCAGCAGTCATGGATGAGAAAGGCTTGCAGACAAATTTAAATGTTCAGAGCACACGTTTTATTAAATCAGTTTAAAGCATACAGCAAGAAGGTAAGGGAAAGTAACTGGATAGAGTAACCCTTAGGACAGGGTGCCAGCAGAAGAACACTGCTAATCCTGAGGGAACAATGTACATATGTCCCCCACTCCCCTCTGTCTCTCTCTGCCACACCAGCCTCCCCCACTGATGGGACCAGAGTTGGATGGTGTTTAAACAAGGGAGCACACAGCTGAAAGCTGCCCTGGGCCGGTGGTGCTCATTTGTTTTGTTGGAGAGATTCAGGATGAGGATGCCTGGCTTCAGCTGCAGCTAGCCAAGGAGCCTGCTGAGTAGCCATGGGTTTTATTATTGTTTCTTGAGCAGAGGACACATGTAGCCAGAATGGGTGTCACTAATGGGTGGGTGAATTAGGGCTCGGAAAACTCAGTGCTTCATGGCTTATGTATATTCAGTGAATTATGAGAATTTTGTTCCTGGCATATATTCAATATGTCATGAATATTTAGGACCCAGGTGCCCTATAGATATTTAGTGTCTAATGAATGTTAGTTATCTTTGGTTCTTCCATCCATCCCATTTAATATACATATGCTCTTCTTACTATTTACTTATCTAAATGTAAGTCACGTATTGAGTTTCATCCATCTTATTTGTTTTCTTTTCTCCTATAGCAGGATTGCATGTTTTCAAACAACACAACAACTGAACTTTACAGTTAATAATCTTATTTTCATGTCTCCCACTTGACGTTTGGTGGATACTTTTATTTGGTGGTGTCTTATTTCATAAATGTTTCTAGTGGTCTCTTCCATTTTTCTCATTCTAGAATCCATATTAGTAGTAAGTAAACCATATAATCACTTCTCTTTCTTACCTTTATACTACTATTTCCCATTTTCTTGGCCTCTTTGTTTTTGTTTTCACAGTTTGGAAAAATTCTTCAGTTTTCTTTTTCAACCTGTCTATTGACTTTTTGAATTCAGTAGCCACACATTAAAAAAAATAGACTGTTTTACACTTTCAGGTTTATAGAAAAACTGGAAAGATAGCACAGAGAGTTCTCATATGCTCTACACCCAGTTTCCCCTATTACAAACATCTATGTTAGTAACTCATTGGTTACAACTAATGAGCCAGTACTGACCCATTATTATTAACTAAGGTTCCCATTTATTTAGATTTCCTTAGCTTTTACCTAATGTCCTTTTTCTTTTCCTGGATCCCACCCAGGAGACCACATTGCATTTGATTGTCATGTCTCTTCTGGAATTTGTCTGATATTTTTCTCATGATAAAACTGGGATTGGAGATTATTGGGAGGAAGCCTGCAGAGGTGGAGTGCCATTTCATCCCATCTATCAGGGGCATATTCTGTTGACATGATTCAGGACAGCTGTTGGCCTGGATTGCCAGCCTGAGGTGGTACCTCTGTTTCTCCTCTGTAGTCACTCTTTTTCCTCCCCTTTTCCAGTCTAGTCTTTGGAAGGAAGTCGCTGTGCGCAGACCACACCTAAGGAGTGGGGAGTTATGTTCCCCTTTTTTGAGGGTGGAGCATCTATGTTAATTATTTGCCTCTTCTCCCCAGCAAAGCAGCCACATTGTTAATTTCCAAAATCCTGTACTTGCTCTCAGATTGTCCTTTTCTTGCTGGAGCTCATTCAAGTGTGCTATAGGGACTGTATTTCCTGATCTTACCATTACAGGTTTTGGTAGGAAGGGTCTCTTTAGTTCTCTGAATTTCCCTGTTTCCTCAGGGGGTTGCTTAGCCTTGTCTTTTATTATTTCAGTTTGTTTTCAAGTTTCTGGAGATCCTTGATACATATTCATCTTCAGATACAAATCAATAAACAGGAGGGCTCGGAACTGTGTCTGTGGGAGTAAAGTTTCCTTGCTAACAGGTTTCACTTTAGGGTAAGAAGAAAGCTGTCCGTAACCCTGGGAGCACCGCAAACATCAGAAAGCAGAGAGATGCATGGGACAGCAGCTCTCACATTCTTGCTTCTAGGCAGCATATGTGGTCTCATTAGAGAAGAATCCTTTCTCTATATTTTTTTGGGTGGAAGAGCTAAATGCCTGGCTGCTGGTTCCTCTGAGCAAAGATTTGGCGGGGGTGTTCCTAGGGACCTTTTTTTCCCTTAAACTGACCATGTAGTAACACCTCCATTTTCTCTCATGTCTCTCTCCTGTCCTCCATTATACCACACGCAGTTTCCAAGGCTGGCATGTCCTCAGGACTCTAGTTTGCAAGATCCTGAAGACTCTCTAGCCCTCGTGCTTCCGGACCTGCCAGGAACAGGTGCTGCACTGCCCACTCTGCCTCATCAGCCAGTGTTCTTCCACCTGCTTTCAGTCTCCTGGGAACTTGCTAAGATTTCTCACACTCTGATGGGCCCCCTCTTGTCCTTCCTGCTGTGACTTGGTGCCACCTTAATGTAACCTTGGGAGAGAGAGGAGATACACATGTCAGCTTGTCAGCTTGAACACTGCTCCATTTTTTAATTATAAAAACATAAACATGGTGTATTGATTAAGGTAGGCTAAACTGCTGAAATAAACTGATTCTAAAATGTAAGGTATAACAGAAGGTTATTTCATATTAGTGGAATAGTCCAAGGTTTCTGGCAGTGGCTTTCCTTAATTTAGGGATCCAGGGACCCAGGCTCCACCTATCTCACGGTCTCTGCCATCCCCCAGGGTCGCCCTGGTGTCTGCAGGTGGCCAGCGGAAGAGGAGAGAGTGTGTGGGGTGGTGCCTGCTACTGAAATGATTTGGGCTGCAGCCCCCACATCACATCTGCTTGTTTCCTGTTGAGAAGAACTAGTCCTCTGCCCACAGTAAGCTCCAAGGAGGCTTGGTCAGTGCAGGCCTGAACCAGGCAGCCCCTTCTCGCTGTGCCTGTGCAGTGAGAAGGATGGGTCTAGCTGCACTCTTGGCCGCTTCGCCTCACATTAACAGGGCCCAAAATAGAGGTGAGAAGCAATGACGGGAACTGGGCGGGATATACCTGCTCAGCGGCAATCACTAGTCTGTACTAGCAGTGGTACAATACCCTCTCACCTGCATATTCCCTCTGCATCTCAGGGAGCTCCCTGCGGCTCTGAAGGGAACCGAAGGAAAACCATGCTCGTTTAATAAAACCTCCGTGTCCGCCGTTGTGCTAGGTGATTTCCGCACAACCCAGACAACACGAGTTCAATTTCCCTCTGATAGATGAGGGTTATCCATCTAAAATAGTTCCTCTGTCATTCATCCCCAAACAGTTTCAATACTCTTTCTAGCTCCTAAATTGGTTGCTTCTGGACATTTAAACAAAATTATTTACATCATTATTTCTTGAATTATCAATTACAAAGATTGTCTCTTGACTGCCCTTTTTCTAAGATAAAAATATTAGTCCCTTGCACCCAATTGCAGCTTTCTTCTTTCATTTTATCTCCAACTTTTGCCATATGCAGTCTTACCTTTACATCGTCATGGTTGATGATGACATTTAGATTCCTCTCTGTGAGCACGAGTAAGGCATGTCTACAGGTTAGTTCTAACTGTGCACAGTTGGCAAATAGTGCTTACATTGTTATGACTACAAAAAGATTATTCATTGTGGTGTCAGATGGTTTGCTTTCAGTACATTTTGGCTTCATGTAGATTTAGTTTTTTCTGTTGTTTCTTACTAGCTTTATATTTTTCTGAGTTGACGTTTAAGCCTCATGCATAGTATTATACATCTAGAAACATCCATGCATTTTCTGTTTTCCTGTTTCCTATATCCATGTCTTCCTGATTTTTGTTTTACTCCTTCATGTTGCTGGGGTGGGAGGGAGGTAAGCTTTTAGAATCCTTGCATGCCCGGCATTGACTTCATGGATGTCTGGTAGTGTACAGCCTTGCTGCCTGAACCTAACTCCCCTTCAGTTCTTTGGAGGCATTGCTCCTTTGTCTGCTAGTCTCAGTTGTTGTCAGTGAGAAGTCTTTTGCCTGATCCTTGTTTCTTTGTAAGTGAACTCTTCTGTCTTTCTGAAAGTATTAGAATTTTCTCTCCATCCTTAATGTTCCAGCGTTTCATAATGATGTGTCCAGTATCATCAGGTAGAAAATTGCCTAGGTGCCATGTCGCTTCCAAGTTCACTTCTTAGTAGAGGCTGCATTAGCGTACTATTCCAGCAGTCATGGATGAGAAAGGCTTGCAGACAAATTTAAATGTTCAGAGCACACGTTTTATTAAATCAGTTTAAAGCATACAGCAAGAAGGTAAGGGAAAGTAACTGGATAGAGTAACCCTTAGGACAGGGTGCCAGCAGAAGAACACTGCTAATCCTGAGGGAACAATGTACATATGTCCCCCACTCCCCTCTGTCTCTCTCTGCCACACCAGCCTCCCCCACTGATGGGACCAGAGTTGGATGGTGTTTAAACAAGGGAGCACACAGCTGAAAGCTGCCCTGGGCCGGTGGTGCTCATTTGTTTTGTTGGAGAGATTCAGGATGAGGATGCCTGGCTTCAGCTGCAGCTAGCCAAGGAGCCTGCTGAGTAGCCATGGGTTTTATTATTGTTTCTTGAGCAGAGGACACATGTAGCCAGAATGGGTGTCACTAATGGGTGGGTGAATTAGGGCTCGGAAAACTCAGTGCTTCATGGCTTATGTATATTCAGTGAATTATGAGAATTTTGTTCCTGGCATATATTCAATATGTCATGAATATTTAGGACCCAGGTGCCCTATAGATATTTAGTGTCTAATGAATGTTAGTTATCTTTGGTTCTTCCATCCATCCCATTTAATATACATATGCTCTTCTTACTATTTACTTATCTAAATGTAAGTCACGTATTGAGTTTCATCCATCTTATTTGTTTTCTTTTCTCCTATAGCAGGATTGCATGTTTTCAAACAACACAACAACTGAACTTTACAGTTAATAATCTTATTTTCATGTCTCCCACTTGACGTTTGGTGGATACTTTTATTTGGTGGTGTCTTATTTCATAAATGTTTCTAGTGGTCTCTTCCATTTTTCTCATTCTAGAATCCATATTAGTAGTAAGTAAACCATATAATCACTTCTCTTTCTTACCTTTATACTACTATTTCCCATTTTCTTGGCCTCTTTGTTTTTGTTTTCACAGTTTGGAAAAATTCTTCAGTTTTCTTTTTCAACCTGTCTATTGACTTTTTGAATTCAGTAGCCACACATTAAAAAAAATAGACTGTTTTACACTTTCAGGTTTATAGAAAAACTGGAAAGATAGCACAGAGAGTTCTCATATGCTCTACACCCAGTTTCCCCTATTACAAACATCTATGTTAGTAACTCATTGGTTACAACTAATGAGCCAGTACTGACCCATTATTATTAACTAAGGTTCCCATTTATTTAGATTTCCTTAGATTTTACCTAATGTCCTTTTTCTTTTCCTGGATCCCACCCAGGAGACCACATTGCATTTGATTGTCATGTCTCTTCTGGAATTTGTCTGATATTTTTCTCATGATAAAACTGGGATTGGAGATTATTGGGAGGAAGCCTGCAGAGGTGGAGTGCCATTTCAACCCATCTATCAGGGGCATATTCTGTTGACATGATTCAGGACAGCTGTTGGCCTGGATTGCCAGCCTGAGGTGGTACCTCTGTTTCTCCTCTGTAGTCACTCTTTCTCCTCCCCTTTTCCAGTCTAGTCTTTGGAAGGAAGTCGCTGTGCGCAGACCACACCTAAGGAGTGGGGAGTTATGTTCCCCTTTTTTGAGGGTGGAGCATCTATGTTAATTATTTGCCTCTTCTCCCCAGCAAAGCAGCCACATTGTTAATTTCCAAAATCCTGTACTTGCTCTCAGATTGTCCTTTTCTTGCTGGAGCTCATTCAAGTGTGCTATAGGGACTGTATTTCCTGATCTTACCATTACAGGTTTTGGTAGGAAGGGTCTCTTTAGTTCTCTGAATTTCCCTGTTTCCTCAGGGGGTTGCTTAGCCTTGTCTTTTATTATTTCAGTTTGTTTTCAAGTTTCTGGAGATCCTTGATACATATTCATCTTCAGATACAAATCAATAAACAGGAGGGCTCGGAACTGTGTCTGTGGGAGTAAAGTTTCCTTGCTAACAGGTTTCACTTTAGGGTAAGAAGAAAGCTGTCCGTAACCCTGGGAGCACCGCAAACATCAGAAAGCAGAGAGATGCATGGGACAGCAGCTCTCACATTCTTGCTTCTAGGCAGCATATGTGGTCTCATTAGAGAAGAATCCTTTCTCTATATTTTTTTGGGTGGAAGAGCTAAATGCCTGGCTGCTGGTTCCTCTGAGCAAAGATTTGGCGGGGGTGTTCCTAGGGACCTTTTTTTCCCTTAAACTGACCATGTAGTAACACCTCCATTTTCTCTCATGTCTCTCTCCTGTCCTCCATTATACCACACGCAGTTTCCAAGGCTGGCATGTCCTCAGGACTCTAGTTTGCAAGATCCTGAAGACTCTCTAGCCCTCGTGCTTCCGGACCTGCCAGGAACAGGTGCTGCACTGCCCACTCTGCCTCATCAGCCAGTGTTCTTCCACCTGCTTTCAGTCTCCTGGGAACTTGCTAAGATTTCTCACACTCTGATGGGCCCCCTCTTGTCCTTCCTGCTGTGACTTGGTGCCACCTTAATGTAACCTTGGGAGAGAGAGGAGATACACATGTCAGCTTGTCAGCTTGAACACTGCTCCATTTTTTAATTATAAAAACATAAACATGGTGTATTGATTAAGGTAGGCTAAACTGCTGCAATAAACTGATTCTAAAATGTAAGGTATAAAAGAAGGTTATTTCATATTAGTGGAATAGTCCAAGGTTTCTGGCAGTGGCTTTCCTTAATTTAGGGATCCAGGGACCCAGGCTCCACCTATCTCACGGTCTCTGCCATCCCCCAGGGTCGCCCTGGTGTCTGCAGGTGGCCAGCGGAAGAGGAGAGAGTGTGTGGGGTGGTGCCTGCTACTGAAATGATTTGGGCTGCAGCCCCCACATCACATCTGCTTGTTTCCTGTTGAGAAGAACTAGTCCTCTGCCCACAGTAAGCTCCAAGGAGGCTTGGTCAGTGCAGGCCTGAACCAGGCAGCCCCTTCTCGCTGTGCCTGTGCAGTGAGAAGGATGGGTCTAGCTGCACTCTTGGTCGCTTCGCCTCACATTAACAGGGCCCAAAATAGAGGTGAGAAGCAATGACGGGAACTGGGCGGGATATACCTGCTCAGCGGCAATCACTAGTCTGTACTAGCAGTGGTACAATACCCTCTCACCTGCATATTCCCTCTGCATCTCAGGGAGCTCCCTGCGGCTCTGAAGGGAACCGAAGGAAAACCATGCTCGTTTAATAAAACCTCCGTGTCCGCCGTTGTGCTAGGTGATTTCCGCACAACCCAGACAACACGAGTTCTCCCTGAGTCACAATAAAAGCT